GCCGACTCTCATCAATTCAATTTTTCTTTTTTTACAACACATTATGTTTTTGTTATAAGATCTTACATTGCAAGGTAATGCCATGTGTGGTCATTCTGATTCTGTCCTTTGCACTGTACCGTCTGTCAACATATTAACACCAGTGATGTGCATGCTACATCAAGTTCATATGTGAGCAAAGGCCATTTTCCAACCTGGTACTAAAGCTGTTAATATGCAATCATGCAACAAAGGGAAACAGAATTTCCTAATATGCTTATTTGTTGCTTTACCCAATATTTGATGACTATATGTTTAAAGGGAGTAGTAAATTTCTGATACAATGGTCTGCATTTGACAATTGATAGCCGTTCTATGAATGTGTAAAATATCTCTTCATTGGAAAGCAAAAACGATTCAAAAATATTTCTTTTAAAAAAGAAAAAAGCCTCATAAAGCTTCCTACACTCACTGGTCTGCGCAGTGTCTGGCTGTAGGTCTTCAATAAGCTCCTTCTTCTTCATGATCTCATCCTGGGCTTCGTTCAGCTGCACCCTGGGGACACAGAGAAACAGCCACATCGCACCCTCACTGACTCTAGGTAAACTGCCGAGGTAAACACTGACACTCTCACAGGAATTCCTCTGTTGCAAAGGGCTGTGTTCCAAACCGGTTTAGAGAACCGCTTTTAAGAATCAGACAATCCGCTTACACAAATCAATTTGGGCTCACTGTTAGTACGGTAATACGGTACTCAATGTACTCACGGTGCTCACTGTAATATGGTACTCAATGAAGCACAATGGCGTATAATTAATAGGAAAAAGCCCTTCAATTCTGAATATAGTGCATCTCTTATCTTTAGCTATTACTGAATCACCTAGCACATAAAATGCTTTGAGAAAAAAAGTTGTGCTGTTAAGTGCCTGAATGCCAGTCAACATGGCAGGAATGAAAAAAGATGCTTTCTACAGGTAAAAAAAACACTGCCTTCTTGAGTCCTACTACAGACTTAAGACCAATGAAAGACCCATAGCTGAGAACCTGAGTATATCACAGTCAACACTGTCAAAGATTATATGAAGAACTATGGTGGTGGCACATCCTAATAGGAATGTGAACACCCAAGGCACCATAAAATTAATGTGAGTGTTGTAGTTTTTTCCTTATTTACTTCATGAAGGATCATACAAAAATACTGGACAATTATGTTTTGTTCCATGTTTGAAATGAATTTTTAGGGACATTTCTGTAATAATCATGAAAAAGCTGTTTTAAACCATAAATATCAATGTCACCCACAAGATTCACATCCCTCCAGGACCACTTTAGAAAAATCAAATGTGATTCTTGAGAGCGCACTGTATAAAGCATGCATAGAAACTGAAGAGCTAACTTACATGTGAGCATCAAGCCTCTTCTTCAGATGAGACTGGGGAATGAAATGTCATTGTTAAACACAGAGAAGCGGGAGTGAGTACAACACCAGATCACTACACCTACAAAACACAGCAACAACCATGGTGGAATTATTGATTATTTAGTCATCACAACACTACCACACAACTGAAAAACAACAAGTCATCATCACATGAGAGTAAGCAGCAGCCTGAGTGTGTGTTCTGCACTACTGAAAGATTAACTCCAGCCTGCACAAACTGGCATGATGTGGTTGGTGGTTCACCTACATCCTCAGGTTTGGCTCCCTGACCCTGCAGGGCTTTCTGCAAGTCCTCCACCTGGAGCTGCAGTTCACTGATCCTCTCCCGGTTCAACCTGAAAACACAGCACTCCCTTAGTCTCAGCTTTAGCAGTCCCAGACACAGTGGACTAATTAACAACCACAAGATTGCTATTATTTACCTTGATTCTTTAAATGTTTCAAAGGTAATCAGGGGTATTATAGTAGATTCATGATCTGTGTTAAGTTTGTTAATTGTTCATTCTTAAGCACATGCGATTTTAATTTGAAGCAATACTATTCACAACAGCTGTGGGATTCAGGGATGTGTATGTTTTTTATTTGGTGCTTCCTATCTATCAGAGCCTGGGAGGTATTGAACAAATGCCAGTGTGTGGAAGGGTATATTTGCAAATCTGAATGTGGAAGGTACTGAAAATCTGTCAATCAGAGCGTGTTAGGTACTGAATACCTGTCAGAACATGCAGGGTACTGACTACCTGCTAATCAGAGTGTGGGAGGGTATATCTACCAATCAATGTGTGGAGGGAAGTGAATACCTGCCAATCAGTGCGTGGGAGGGCATTTTTGTCAATTAACATGTATGCCTATCAGTCAGAATGTGGAAGGGTGTATCTGCCAGACTGTGGGTGGCACCTGTTCTCAGTGTCCAGCTCGCTCTTGAGGCGGTGGGCCTCCTCCAGCTGGACCTGCAGCTCCACGATGCGCTCGTTCTCAGAGCCCTCCTGCTGCAGACGCAGCATCTTGTTCTCGTGCTGCAGGCGAATGAACTTCTCCCTGCGTCCGCGGGAAGAGCAGGCTCGGCATCAGAGAGGCCAAACTCCACACTATGCCAAAGCGCACTAAGCGTGCAGTCGCACACACACACACACACACACACACACACACACAGGCTACGCAGTCTCCCCCGGCTCGCTTCCATGCCCGCCTCCGCCAACACATGGCACAGGCAATCTAATTAGTGGGAGTAAAGGCCTACTGGACCGCACTGACACTCATCTCACCACAGGGAAATTTTCGCATAAATCAGCCATACAGGATAAATTCCTTGACGTATTACAATGTTTTCGAGTGGTCCATGATACCACAAAACCAATTCTAAAAGGCTCATTTTCATTTCCGTTTTTCATAAAAAAGACTTATGAGTACAGAATGAGTGGGCCTTATACTGGGGAGCACTGCACTGTATGATCATTTTAAACTACCAATAGATCAAGAGGAAGTACTGAACAATACAGGAGAAACAACACTGACATTATTACCTGTACTCTATAGGTAGGATTTCAGCAGCAAGGTTATCATGGCTTGGACTCCCAGCAGGAAAAATCCCTTTTGTGGGGAAAAAGAATTGAGCAGCTAAGCGTTTTCAACCTTAACTATCACAGTAATATTGCATGTGAGAGGAAAAATGAGTTCTATTTATTGTTACTGTTATCTGCTAAGGTCTTTGTCGTAGGTATTTAATCAAAAGAAAAACAACCAGCAACCAGCTAAAATTGCTTCCTTTTCTCACACAGCACCATTTTCATTGCTGTTTGTATATATTTATAGCCTCCTGAAGAAGTTGTCATGGTAACAGGAATTTCTAAACCGAATCTCCAAGATACCTGCTTGCATGAGCTGGTCCTGTTGAGCCTGTGTACACCGCAGCTCCTCATTGGTCTCTTTCAGGGAGTCCCGCTCAATGATGATCCTCTGACAGGGAATCAGCACCATAAAAGAACATGTAAGCTAACATTTCATTCACTTTAGACTCCACTGTCTCTGAGGATGTACTCCGCCTCACTTGTAAGTCGCTTTGGATAAAAGCGTCTGCCAAATGAATAAATGTAAATGTACAGTTTATGAACATTTTAATAAAGGCACAATGCTTATAAACTCTAGGTGTCCATTTGATTTCTGCAGATTTTTACATTCTATTAGGTGACAGGCAAGTCAAAGAAATCCCAGCAAGTCCAAGACTACTATATATAAGTTTGACACTCCATATTTCAGCCATACCTCTTTTTCTTTCAGCACGGTCTCATGCTTCTCCTCAAACTTCTTCATTTCAAAGGCCAAATTATCTGCCCTCCTGGACTCCTCTGACAGCTTCCTGTGCAGCTCCTGGACCTGATGGAAAAGACCCTGTTCTTTAGACTGCAGGGGACGTACTCTCCAGAACGACCTTATAGCATCCACATTATTTCTGTTCATTATTTTGCTTGACTGATGCTGTATAAATAAGATTTATGACAGCTCCAGTTCAGAAGTGTAGGCATTAACAGCCTTCAACTTCTTGACTGGAGAGCAGAGTCAAATTCAGTATAAGGAGCCCTTGAACAGATTTACCTCTTCTTACAATAAAATGTCGAAGATTAAAAGCATCTGTCAAATTATTTAAGGAAGCAGGCTCCTGAGTGACTCATTTGGTAAGGTGCTTGTCTTGAGTGCAGGCTGAACCCTATGGTCAAGGTTTGAATCCCAGCTGTTTTCTTCAGACGATTACAGGGAGCAGCCAACCAAACTGGCTCCATTCCACCAGGGATGGGGTGGGAAGGTCACCTAGGTTTTAGCTCTCCATTCTCAGGACTCTGCAACTCATTAGGCACCTATGAGTTGCTTCTCTGTAGTGGACAATGGTGCACTGTGGGACTTGTAGTGCAAAAAACAGCCACAGGTTGCCTGCGAGCGTGTTGGAAGGTGGAATTCATCACAGCACAAGAGTACACATGTAGATGCTGTCACGGTGAGACAACCCATGGTGAGTTTTATGCACTGTTGGCAATTCCACAAGCGGGTTGCATAGAGGGGGCAGAAAGCATTAAAAATATTCAAGAAAGTATAACTCACCTGTTTGTAAGTTTAAATTTAATGTAAAGGTCATTACAGATAATAATATCAGAGTAGTGAAATTATGAGTCGGAGTGACTGCGGCCTGTGGAGACACGCAGGGTTCTGCGCTGCCCTGCGCAGTGGTGTCCCACCTGTCTCTTGTAGGTCTCCAGCTGTGTGCGGGCTGCGTTGGCCTTGCGCAGCTCCTCCTCCAGGCTCACGGTGTTGTGCATGTAGGTCATGTTCTTCTCCTCCAGAATCTTGACCTGTCGCCTCAGGTCACTCAGGTCCTCCAGTTTCTTGCGGTAGGTCTCCACGGAGGCCTCCAGCTTGACTGCCCGGTCCGAACAGCTCCTGCCCGCAGACACGCAGAAGGGTTTAGAGGGGTTTAGAGGCAGGCAGGCAACAATTACATAGGAATACACAGGATAATTGTGCCACTGATATGCTAGCACACATTGCTGTGCACACATGCTGACAGCTACAGTACCAGTCAAAAGTTTGGGGCAGCGTAGCATAGTGGTTAATGAGCAGGACTTGTAACCGAAAGGTTGCTGGTTCAATTCCAGCCAGGGCGCTGCTGTACCCTTGGGCAAGGTACTTAACCCACAATTACAAAAGTAAATATCCAACTGTATGAAAGGATAACACTGTAAAGAAACTGTAACTGATCTAAGTTGCTCTGGATAAGAGTGTCTGCTAAATGCCAGTAATGTAATGTAATGAACACATCGGATTAAGATAATGGGAGACATGCATTCATAGACATTTTGAGCTAAAGACTTATGCTTAAATGTTTGAAATCTGTTTCTTGGACAAATATAAATAGTGAAGCTGATGCCTATGTATGAATTTCTTCCCGAAAAAAAAAAAATCAATTTTAAAAAATATTTTTTGGATAAGATAAGAATGTAAAATATAAGAAAAATGTAAAATATAAGATGTTTTGATTTGTTTATAACACTTTTTGATCACTGCTTAATTCCATTCATGTTGTTTCATAGTTTTGATGTCTTTCCTATTATTCTAAAATGTGGAATATAATAGTGAAAATAAAGAAAAGTGTGTCCAAACTTTTGACTGGTACTGTAAGTCCACATGCAAATGCACACACATATGCAGATGCAGACACTCTGTGTACCTCAGAATGTCCAGCTCGTCCTTAAGCGAGCGGGACTCCTCAGCCAGGCTGGTTAGCTCGTCATTGCGGTGCTGCACTTCGATCAGCTGCTTCTCCAGCTCCTCACAGTGGATGCGGTAGTCATCTTTAGCAGCCTCCAGCCTGCACACCATGCAGAGAGTCAGTCAGACAGAGAGAGACCACCCGACAGAATAGCCAGACTGAAACTCTCACTAGAAAACACATAAAATGAACCGAAACCAACTGTACTGTGCAAGCAAATAAAATCTTTTTATTAACTCACAGCTTGGCTCATTTGTAATTTAGAGTTACTTTAGAAAAATCATTTATCTCACTGGGTGGTAAAAGAATGGTTAAAGATAAACTGTTAAAGGTAAGCAGGACCTGAAATTCTCCTCCTGCAGCTGCTCGAGCTGGAGCTGCAGCTGGCTATGCTTCTTCCCTGAGGGCGTGGTAGGGTCATCAAAGGAGTCCAGCTGGTTAGCCCGGTCAGTCAACACATCATTCTCTGCTAGCAGGCTGTTCCTCTCCTCCTGGAGCACAGTCACCTGACCAATCACAACATAGTGTCAGCACCAGCACGTTCCTCAGTCACCCAGCCGAGTAGGGTGTCAACACCAACACGCCGTACCGTTCCCATCGGCCCAATCACACCTCTCCGTCTCTTGACCAATCAGAGTAAGTTCGGCACAAACACACTCCTGTGCAACCTAACCCCAGAATTTAAAAAAAAAAAAAATCAAGGCTCATGCACTCCGCTGCAACGAAAACGGCAACCACAGGCTGTCTCCAGAATTTAGGGGACAACGGATATTGAACCATCACGTTATCTCAACTAAAAACCGCATACTAATCACAGACCCGGAACATAATCACAGCCTTCCTGGTCTGCTGTGCCATATCATAGTTAACTGCTTTTATGATCTGCTGTGGACATCTCCATTAAGCTAATTGGGTTTACAGCTACTTCATCATGTAGCTATAAAATAAAGCCGCAAAATAAAGACATTGTACTCATACTACCCATCTGCTAAAAAGGGCCATACTTCTGTCATTATTCTACCCCCAAACCACCCTTTGGAATGTTTATGTAGTGTCTGGGCTTTACAATATTCTGTACTTAAAAAAAGGTTTTAAAAACTGATAAACTGATGATAAGTTATACATAATATATTTATTGTAAAACTGTTACCATTTCATTAAAATGCTGAAAATTTTCATTGCTTGTGATCTCTGACTGCGCATTCCATAATGTACTGTATTCACTCATACTACATTGTGATGTACCTTTTGCCATTTTATGTAAATTTGTGCTAAACGGTACTGGTCACAGCTTGCTTCTATTTACTGGCACTGAACCAAAATATTGCATAAACTAATGAATCAAAAGTCTTGCCAATCTGAAAAATTAAACAGCACACAAATGTTAGCTCACTGTTAATGTAAGTGGACTGACAGAATTACTGGTTAGTTACACTTCTTAATGAAAAGAAGTCAGATTGACTTTCATTTCTTTTCTGGTCCTTTTGAACAAATGCCTGAACTTCTGTTGCAATACAAAAACTAAAAACAACCTCCACCCCTCAGTTGTAGTTCCACCTGGTTTGGACATTTCCAAAAACTCACCAGATGCTTTGTAGTCAACACTTAGTGCAGAATTTTGGTCACATTATTATTGTGCGTGGACACATCAAACATAGTCATAAATGATCATTTGCTACTGGATGCAGGCTATTTACTGAATTTTTCTCCAGGCTCTGTAAACAAAACTGACTGAATAGTGTTTCTATCACACTGCTATATTCATAGATTCAATTATTTCTCTGCTAGTTCTTGTGAAGAAGAGAGAAATGAACCTTATAACATGGACAAAATTCTCTTATTGGAGGGTGCGCTCACAATAATGTGACCAGGATCTGCGCAAAATAAAATGAAAAAGATGTACCTGCGTACACAATACAGCCGGCGTTAGCTCAATGGGATTTAGCACAGCAGACATCCCCCCAGAAATTGTTAGCTTGTTAGTTGCAGCAGGAATTGTAATTAATAGTCTGGCTCAACAGCCATGCAGCAATATCATCTTACCTTCTCCAAACAATCTTGGCATGGGGATTTGAGTTTTGTGATTTTTACAACTCAATCTGTCAAGAATCAGTCCCAGCAAAGCATCAATATTTCATCAGTAATAACAACAGAAAAAAAGAAACAAACACGTCAAACAATGTTTCAAAATCAATATCATGAAAGATTTTGTTCACTGCACATAATGACAAAAGCTGTATTGCCTCCTTTTTTCACTGTGTGTTAATAACAGCATAAAGTTGCAGACAACAGAGGTTAAATATCCAACAGCTAGGTTAAAAAGTACTACATAATCTACAGTGCTGAACAAAGCAGGGGTGTCTCAAGTCATGTTATACAAAGAGACTGAGGACTCCAAATGCTTCCTAAAGCATCTGCTCTAGCACATCACAGTGAACTGACCTGAATGTCCAGCTCCTGGCACCTCTGGGCTAGCTCTTCCTTCTGTGCCATTAGCTCAGCTATATCTTCCATTGCCTTCTTCAGCTGAAAACAGCACATTATGTGTCAGGCCACAGGATATGCCATAGGTAACACGCATACAGCATTACGACTGGTTCAAATACTGTGTCAGTTCTGATATGTTGTGTGTTATGTGTGTACCTCTAGTGCATTCATGTGCTACTGTTCAAACGTTAAGCATGTTCATTTCACATCAACAGAAGATTCAAAGTGGTACCTGTAGCTCAATGTCCCCAATGGGCTCTGCTCCAAATTGTGCCATTGTTTCTTTGCTCATCAACTAAAACAGACAGAAGGTTCAGCACAGACTCAGTGGGAGTGAAGCTTGCATTTTAAAGGAGTTCTCATAGTCCCTGTGAACATATCTTTTTTTTCTTAGAAACTGTTTTTTAATATGACAACAATACACCCAGGAAATGAAATTAATCAATTAGCAAACTCAGAATGTTTAATACTGTATGTGAACTATTACTTAGATATGAATGCAAACTTATGCAGGGTATATATATTAATATCTAACTCATATGCATGATACAATCATATCAGTATCATCCATCATAAAAGGATAGATACGTCTTTCCCAGGTGGGACTCCCAGACATCTTTTCACATGAATGGCAATCTTCAGTTTAGACAAGCAAAGCTAACCAGTTAAATCAAGAGATTCATGGGTCTACCCAATTAAAGACAACTGTTTAACAAAAGATCCTGCTGACTGAAAGATGCTATGTGTTAACTAAGAAGATATGCATTTTAATACATAATAGAGTGCTGGCAGTGAAATCACCTCCTGAATGGCAGTCATCACAACGTGCTGTACTGACTCCTCCAGGGTCATTATGATTTGAATGTACTCTGTGAAAAGGGAAATCAGAAAGTTCATTCTGTATGTCAAGACTTAAAGAAGCTCCTGTGATAGAAAAAAATTTCACAAATTTCTAGCTGACTGCAGCCTGCACTGGCCACTACCTTGTTTCCTTTCACATTTGACAGCACAACCCAAAATCAGCTGTAGGAGGCGCCCCAGCTCCACAGGGTCAGAGTGTTCAGCCACTTGGACCAGATCCGGGAGCGGGAAATCAGAAATCTGCTGTGCTAGAACCTGACAGTATTGACATATTTTAAAATCAGGTGGCAATTCATATTCTCTGCATGACAGTTATGCAACAATCATGGAATTGTAATTAGTTATATCAGATAGAGAACAGACTACAGCACTGCATTTGAATATTATGATAGCACAGAGGTCTCCAGATTATGACAAGAACAGTGAATGATATTACTTAGAAGGAGGAAAATACAGCTTACCTCATTGTAGTAATCCACTATCATCTGAAGCACTTTTTTGAGGTTGTTCATCTGGGTGAATAAAGGTAAATTGATAACAAATTACTCTGATGACAAACTAATCTAAAGTTTGACTCTCCATAAAGATTTACAGTTCTCCTGAATGCAGGACATCTTTTGTTGTCTTGAAACCCTTATTCAGTCAAAATAAGCTCCTTCTGTGAAGCCATACAGAGAACACAAAAAACCTTGTTCAAACGGTTTCGGGTTTAGGTGTTTCATTAAAACCTGCCCAGGTGATATGAAATTCAATGCAGATTTGTGCAATGCGTTTGTTGCACAAAGAACTGTGGATGAAAATGGAAAAATACTGTGAGGGACATGTACTGCAACTCGAAGATAAATGAGAAGAAGCCTTAGAGAAGTTCTGAGGAGATACCTTTAGCCTCCAGTTGTCGCCCACATCTTTAATGCGACTCAGCCAGCTCTCACTGAACCATGCGGGGTCTCTGCCATTCAAACACAACAATCAACACTGAGACTGTACTGTACAGACAATACACACAAAAGCCTCTCAGCTCAGACACAGGAGGGTGCCAGACACACAGCAAT